ACAGAATGTAAGCTGCACGCACAGTGGCTGAAGCCATGGGTTGTAGGGAGATTGTTCTAGGGCAGTGGTCCCCAACCTTTTTGGCACCAGGGACCGGTTTTGTGGAAGACAATTTTTCCACGGACCGGGTGGGGATAGTGGATTTGGGATGATTAAAGCATGTTACATTTATTGTGCACTTTATTTCTATTATTATTACATTGTAATATATAATGAAATAATTATACAACTCACCATAATGTAGAATCAGTGGGAGCAGTGAGCTTGTTTTCCTGGAACTAGATGGTCTGATCTGGGGTTGATGGGAGCGACAGATCATCGAGCATTAGATTCTAATAAGGAGTGCTCAATCTAGATCCCTTGAATGCACAGTTTACAGTAGGATTTGCGCTCCTATGAGAATCTAATGGCACCTCTGATCTGACAGGAGGTGGAGCTCATGGTAATGCAAGCAATGGAGAGCGGCTGTAAATTCAGAGGAAACTTCCCTCATTCACCCACTGCTCACCTCCTGCTGTGTGGCCCAGTTCCTAACAAACCATGGACCAATACTGGTCTGTGGCCCAGAGGTTGGGGACCCCTGTCCTAGGGGACTGACTGCCTTGAGTCAGGAGAGAAGTGGGCTAGCAGGAAACCTTGACTTCAAGAGGAGGACAGAGAACTGTCCGAGTAGGAGCAGCAGAGAGGTGGGTGCTCTCGGAGGGAGGGGTATCAAGGAAGCCAAGGAGGAAGTCGAGGAAGAGAGAGAGACAGAGACAGAGAAATAAAGCAAGTGGCAAGATAGTAATTGTCCATTATTTTATTCTTAGGTGTTCATGATTCTTTTCTTTCAAATTTTGTGTATGCTTGAAACTTTTCATCATAAAAAGTGAGAAAGAATAAAGAGATCATGCCCTCATTGGGGAAAGATTGTAAACACAGTCTGTTTCAAAGCCTGGGCTTGAGTAGGGTCCACACCAGAAGGCATGAAGGACTGAGTTATGCTGGATCCATGACCATCAAGATCTTTCATCTCAGCCAGAAGCCCCTCATGGCCTCATTATAATGAAGCCCTGTAGGGCAGCGCTTTCTTGCCAGCCTTACTGTGCTCCATTTCTTTAATGGCCTTTTTGCTCAACAATACAAGAGATCCAAACTGCTGATTCCGGCATAGGATGTAACTCACTACATTTTTTCACTCAAGCTTTCAACTCTGACTAAATGGATTTCCTTTTCTTTTTTTTTTTTTTTTTTTGAGATGGAGTTTCACTCTTGTTGCCCAGGCTGGATTGCAGTGGCACGATCTCAGTTCACTGCAACCTCTGCCTCTCGAGTTCAAGTAATTCTCCTGACTCGGCCTCCCGAGTAGCTGGGATTACAAGTGCCCACACCACGCCCAGCTAATTTTTTGGTTTGTTTGTTTGTTTTGAGACGGAGTCTCACTCTGTCGCCCAGGCTGGAGTGCAGTGGCGCAATCTCTGCTCACTGCAACTTCCACCTCCCGGGTTCAAGTGATTCTCCTGCCTTGGCCTCCCGAGTAGCTGGGATTACAGGCGTGTGCCACTACGCCCAGCTAATTTTTGTATTTTTAATAGAGATAAAGTTTCACTATGTTGGCCAGGCTGGACCATGTTGGCCAGGCTGGTAATTTCTCTATTTTCAGTAGAGATGGGGTTTTGCCATGTTCGCCAGGCTGGTCTCAAACTGCTGACCTCAGGTGATCCGCCAGCCTCAGCCTCCCAAAGTGCTGGGATTACAAGCATGAGCCACCCCACCTGCTAATGGATTTTCTAGAGAATTGCTGTGCTGCTTTTTTCTTTTATTTTGTGAGATTCTTTAAGGAATGAGAGTAGGGGGCTTCTGTGACCAGTAAACAAGAACATGGGCTTTAGCCTAAGAGGGACTTGGATTCAGATCCAGGCTTCTGTGTTTACTAAGCTGTGTGGCCTTAGGCAAATCCAGCCTCTCTGGGTGTTGCTTGCCTTACCTGTAACACCTATGCGGCAGTTTCAGTTTGTTAAACATCAAATGCAGAAACCACTACAGTGCCAGGCATGGGATAGGAATTGGGGGTAGCTTTTTTTTTTTCCCCCTAGAGACAGGGTCTCACTCGGTTGCCCAGGCTGGTGTACAGTGGTGCAATCATAGCTCACTGCAGCCTCCTGGGCTCAAGTGATCTTCCAGTCTCAGCCTCCCGAGGAGTTAGGGCGACAGGTGCGTGCAACAACATTTGGTAAATTTTTAAAAATTTACTTAGAGTTGGGGTCTTCCTATGTCACCCAGGCTGAAGGGTGGCTATTTTTATTTTTATCTACTTCTTTTTCACTCCCTTTGCTTTGCCTTCCTTCTTTCCTCTTTCTCTATCATCCTCTTTGTTTCATTTGGGTTTTGCTTTGGCAATTTCCCCCCCAAGAAACTGGAAACCAGGCTGGGTGTGGTGGCTCATGCCTGATACTTTGGGAGGCCGAGGTGGGTGGATCATCTGATGTCGGGAGTTCAAGACCAGCCTGGCTAATATGGTGAAACCCCATTTCTACTGAAAACAAAACAAAAACAAACAAACAAAAATAGAAAAATTAGCTGGGCATGGTGGCGTGCACCTGTAATCCTGGCTCCTCAGGAGGCTAAGGCAGGAAAATCACTTGAACTCGGGAGGCAGAGGTTGCAGTGAGCCAGGATGGAGCCACTGCACTCCAACCTGGGTGAAGGGTGACACTCTGTCTCGGTCAAACAAACAAAACACACACACACACAAACAAAAAAACCCAAAAATCTGGAAACCAGTGTGTGAAATTCTCGGGCTGTGGCATCACCTTTGCCACCCTGCAGTGATAGTAGAGCTAAAAGTCCCCTGAGAGAGGAGTCGAGTTGATGGTGGTTGAAGTGGGAGGGTGGAAATGGAGAAGTTCAGCCTTATATTAATAGGATCTGTAGGTAAAATTCACCAGCTCCCCAACCGTGTGGTTGGCTGAGCACCACAGGTGTAAATTATTATTAACTCCATGCCCAACAGAATTCAGCTCTCCTCTATTTTTACTACAGGAAAACACACAATAGCTGTTTAATTTTAAATTTTTTTCTTTTTCCCTCTGTGACTCAAGCCAAAGAGCAATAGCTATTTTTTAAAGTTAGCATTGTGTTCAGGCAGATATTAAACATTCCTCAATGGGCAAGGGTTTTAACATTCTTTACTTTTGTCTCTTTTTTTTTTTTTTTTTTTTTTTTGAGACAGAGTCTCACTCTGTTGCCCACGCTGGAGTGCACTGGTGTGACCTCAGCTCACTGCAATCTCCACCTCCCGGGTCCTGGCCGCAGCCTCCAACTAGCTAGGATTACAGGTGCCCGTCACCACGCCCAGCTCATTTTTGTATTTTTTTAGTAGAGATGAAAGTTCGCCATGTTGGCCAGGCTGGTCGAACTCCTGGCCTCAAGTGATCTGCCCACCTTGGCCTCCCAAAGTGCTGGGATTACAGCATGAGCCACTGCGCCCGGCCTTAACATTAATTTTTCAACACGTAATTCAGGCAAGATTAATAGAAAGAAAATGGGGTCCCAGATTGCCTTGCCCCAACCCGATCTTCTTTTGGCTTTTGGAGTATGAAAAAGGGGACGTGCTGTGGTCTCCGCCTGAAGCTAGCTCGCTTGGGAGCCCTCCTGGACCCGTAAGGAGAACAAACCCTGGCAAATCCAACTGGCCCGAAGTGGATTTGCTAGAGTGACAGGCAGCAAAATTAATTCAGTAAGACATTCGTAAGTGTATCACTTCACAAAGGAATAAAAAATGCAGGAATCTGATTGCAAAGATGCCAAGCAAAAGGACTGGGAGAAAACATGCCTACTGTGTACATTTGACTCTGTTTTGTGCCTTAAGAGCTATGTGAGAGGCCGACTCTTCCGTGGTTAGAATGGAGAACCCAGGGAGGCTTCCTTCCGGATGAAGAGTGAGGAGGGAAAGCTGCCAGGATGCAAGGCTGCTCTGGCGACAGGGTGTTTTCTCCTGCCCCTTCACCCCTGTGTCTCTTTCTCTGTTGTCCGGTTCTCTACAAATTGTCCAGCCCATTGCAGGGAGCAAGTCTGATGGATTCAATACTTTGTCCCATTGGAGGGAGTCCTCATGGGCCACCCATCAGCCAGTGGACCTGTTCTGGTCAAGTGTCCTCCCCTGATCTCCAGTGACCTAGGTGGCGCCCAGTCTGGCTTGCCTGACCACCTTCCACCTCTGGTGGAGGGCAGGCATCATGCATGTGTTTGGAAAATACATTTGATTTTATAGTTGAATTCTGGACAATGGTCTTGGGACTGTCTTCAATAGCAAGGATCATGTGACCAAGGCTCCATTTCTTTCCACATTTCAGCTACCTGATTTACTCCAAAAATGTACTCCGTGTGCTGGGTGGGGAGATTCTGAACTGGCTACTGATTCTGGCTCTAACATCAGGGGACCAGCCTTAAGACTTGGAGCAAGCCGCCACTTCTTAGGGTCCCAGTTTGCTGTCCTGTGGCACAGCAGGGTTAGGAGGGAGGAGCGCAAACTAACCTGCCATCACCCCGTGGCTGAGTTGGGATTTTGAAATGCTGTTGTTATACATAATAACTGTTATGACTTCGGGCACCGAGAGAGGGAGGCCCTAATTCCTTTACCAGAACTCGAATCCTTGTGTACATAACGTTTTTAGGAATCTATGTTCATAGCTGGGGGACAGAGTGGCAGAATGGTGAAGTGTTCCCCCTGGCGTCACACCCGTCTCAGTGAGAATCAGCCTCTGTCACAGACCTGCTCCGTGACCTCGGGAAGATGATCTGACCTCTCGACACCTCGTTTTCCTCCTCTGGGAAGTGGGGATACTAATAGGTCCTCCCCTCTGGCTCGCTGGAGGAGTAAGAGGCAACACATGCAAAGCACTTAACCTGGAGCCCGGGTAGGGACCTGGCTGTGAGTTCAGAGACCGGGATTTGTGGGATGGCCAGTGTATGCACTTCCAATGACTGCTGGCATTACCACAAACCCCCGGTAGCTTACACAACAGAAATCTACTCTCACAGTTCTGGAGGCCAGAAGTCTAAACTCCATACTGCTCAGCTGTGCACTGGCTGCGGGCTTCAGGGGAGAATCCGTTTCTGGTCTTTTCCAGCTTCTGGTGGCCAGCAGCATTCCTTGGCTCGTGGCTGCATCACTCCAGTCTTCAAGGCCAGCATGTTCAAATCTCTCTCTGCTCCATCTTCACACGGCCTTCTCCTCGGTGTGTCTAATGTCCCTCTGTCTCCCTCTTACAGAGATACCTGCATTGGCCAGATGCAGTGGCTCACACCTGTAATCCCAGTGCCTTGGGAGGCTGAGGCGGGAGGATCACTTGGGGCCAGGAATTCAAGATCATGCTAGGCAACATGGTAAGACCCCATCTCTACAAAATGAAAATAAAAGAACTGTATTTAGGGCCCACTCATGTGATCCAGGATAATCTCCTTCCATGTCAAGACCCTCACTTGATCACATCTGCAAAGACCCTTGTATTCACAGGTTCTGGGGATCAGGGTGTGGATATATTTTGGGGAGGGAGACATTTCAGCCTATCACACCCAGCTGCGGGGGGCATGTTCCAGTTGGCTGTCCTTTTCGCTTCCACTGTCCGTTTGCTGTGGAGTTGGGCCCTCGTCTCCTCCAAGCTCCCCTAGCCGCCCACGTGTCATCTTTCCTGAGCTCAGCTCCCTATCCTGAGACTTCCTATTTCTGCCCACAGCCACATCATTTTCTCTACCATCTTCCCCAGAACTACCTTTGACCCTTATGCTCCTTCCCTTTCCTGACGCCACCCCACCCACACTTTACATCAGTCACCAAATCTCAGCATCACAGTCCGACTGAAAGAGAAACTTCTCATCTGACTTCTCTGATGCACAGAGATGGAGCTGAGCCCTAGAGAAAGGGGGTGACTTGCTGGGGGCGAGGCTGGACCACAGCCCAGGCCCCTGGGATCCACTCCTACCCTGACTGCCCATCGGCAAAATGCTTCCTGGGGACGAGGCTCTCTGCATCCTTCTGTCCCTTCCTCAGCTCTGCCCTCACCTCCCCTCCTCGGGAGGCTGCGGAAGCCTCATGGGCCTTCTCCAGCCAGCCTCTCTGGCCACTCCAGCATTCCTTTCACTGCTTTCATTTGGGTCACCCCTATGGAGGTAGCGTCAGTGTTTCCCAGTGACCTAGAGGCAAAGTCCATCTGTTTGCAAGCATTTATTGAGCATCTATTATTATGTGCTAGGGGCTGGGGAGCCCAAGATGAACCAGGCATAGGCCCAGCCTTTAATCAGCCTGATCCATATGCTGCCTTGGCTGAGATTCACATTTCCACCTGCTCCTCCTGCCCGCTACACTGACCTACCACTGCCCCAAGCAGCCTACATCCACAGCAGGACGCCTGCACTGCTGCTTCCACGTGTGCTGGCCTGCTGGCCCTGTGTGTGTAGTATCCTGGCTCCTTCCGGCCCCATCAGAGCTTGTGCTGTCTTCAGTGCCCAGCATCTGTCCCTGCCCTGTACTCCATCCAGCGCCCTGAAGTCGGTCCCTTCGCATGTGCGCCCTACTGCAGCCCTCTAGCCTCTGTGGCTGGGTGGCGAGTTCTGCTTCTGTCCCGGGTTAACTGAAGCCTTGGCAGCTGCCCTTGCTGCCTCATGGGGTGTTTTTTGGCCTCTATCCCTCTCTCCCTCCACTCCACCCTCCCTTTTCGCTACTGCCTGACTCTTCTGGTTTTTGCTATTGCCTGGAAGGTAGGCTACGTCACGGTGCTCTGTGCAGTAGAGGTAGTCCTGATTCCATGGCACTGACACCCCCACCTCAAACGCAGCTCCCCATGATGTTTCCTCTCTGGGGAAGCACAGCCGTGGCTGAACAGACACAGGCGAGCCCTTCAGCCTGGGTGCCTGTCCCCACACCCACCCAGGATCCAGAAACCTGGGGTCCTCGCAGGAAATTCCTGCTCACTCCCCAACAGGAAGTGTTCCTGCCTGTGTTAGAACTGGGCATGTCCTTGCTTTCGACCCGGAGAAACCTGGCTGGTTGGAAGGCACAGATTCCTAACATTTTGAGGGACATTTAACTTTTCCTGACAATGTGAGATTTTATCACCTATTGCTACATAACAGACTAAAAACAACCAAAATGCTATTTGCCCACAAATCTGGGGGTCTGGAATTTAAACAGGGCATACTGGGTGCTGTTCCCTGTCTGGGGGAAACATCGCCTTCACCTAGACATGGGTTGCTTTGCTTAAACATTCCTGATCTTTTGCATACCCAAGAATGATCCATGTTAACTTGCATCTTGCACACCCAAGAATGAGTTGAAGATGTGGCTTCACCAATCCCATGTAAAGGGGTCCCGGCCGGTGTAGCTCCAGAGTCCAGAGAGTGGCTGGGTCAGCTTGAACATGGGCACATGTCTGGCTGAGCTCCTCGTTCTCCTCCATATAGTCTCAGGGGCCTCTCACTCTCCACGTGGCCTTTCCAACAGGAAAGTAAGCTAGTTACAAGGTGGCTCAGGGTTCCCAGGATTACAAATGTGGAATCCACTAAGGTTTCCTAAGGCGTAGCCCTAGAGCTTGCACAGTCTTCAAAGCCCAGCATCTGTCCCTGTCCTGTTTTGTTTTGTTTTGTTTTGTTTTGTTTTGTTTTTTGGGATGGAGTCTCACTCTTGTCATCCAGGCTGGAGCGCAGTGGTGCAATCTCAGCTCACTGCAACCTCCACCTCCCGGGTTCAAGCGGTTCTCCTGCCTCAGCCTCCCAAGTAGTTGGGATTACAGACGCCCACCATCATGCCTGGCTTATTTTTGTATTTTTAGTAGAGATGGGGTTTCACCATGTTGGCCAGGCTGGTCTCGAATTCTTGACCCCATGTGATCCACCCGCCTCAGCCTCTCAAAGTGCTGGGATTACAGGCATGAACCACCACGCCCAGCCTCCTGCCCTGTTCTTCATCCAGCACCCTGTACGTGTGCCCCTTGGCACAGTTGGCACAGTGTCACCTCTGTCACATTTTGTTGTTTCAGGCAGCCCAGATCCAGTGAAGTGATCTACAGAGGGCATGAATACCAGGAGGTGGAGTTCACTGGGGGCTACCACTGTAACAGATGACTACATATGTCCTGTCTTTCCAGCTGGAGTCTAACTCTTCAAGGGATGCAGGGATGTGTTCTATCCCACAGCCCCTTTCAGAATGCTCACTCCTAGGAGTTGCTTGATCTGCATTCATGTTATTGAGAAGGAAACAGGATGATCAGAGATGCCATGGGGCCATCTTGGAGGGCCTGTCATGCTGCTTAACCCTTCCTCACCAAGCACTTCCCCTGGCGTTGGCTGGAAGGAAAGGTAGCCATTTGGGCTACGTTTGATAGAGGAGAAAGCTGAGTCTCAGTGAAGTTTTTAGTTTATACACTTGCTAAGGACCAAATAATAAATTGGCAGATTGGGGTTGAAAGCCTAGTGTGCTCATTTTTGTTGAAAACTAGGGAAATAAATTTACTTTTCAGAAATTGATTTTCAGGTAAATTTATCTTAATGCATCTGTAGAGCAAGACATATATGTTTGTTTTTTACCTTTTTATTTTATTATTTTTTAAATTTTAACTAATTAATTTTTTTTTTTTTTGAGACTGAGTCTCACTTTGTTGTCCAGTCTGGAGTGCAGTGGCGTGACCACGGCTCACTGCAGCCTGGACCTCCTGGCTCCTGGGCTCAAGTGATCCTCCCACCTCAGCCTCCCGCCCTGAGGAATGTGCCACCACACCCACTAATTTTCTTGTATTTTTTTTAGTAGAGAGGGGTTTCTCCAGTGTTGTCTAGGTTGATCATGTGATCCACCTACCTCAGCCTCCCAAAGTGCTGGGATAACAAGCATGAGCCACCACACCCGAGGGCTTGTGTTTGACCAGATATCACTCTCCGTGAGTCATCCACCACTGTGCCTTGCATGGGGACAGATTTGTTATTTGTGTGGTATGTGTCTTTTTAGCATACAGAATTACCTTTCTTTCCTTCTCAAAACTGTGGGTAGGTTATATGAGTTATCATGAGGTCACCACCACCTCCACCAACTTGGAAATAGGGAACTAAGATTTCCCTTGGAGAGAGGGTGGCCAGGTTTTACAAATGAAAATACAGGGTGCTTAGTTAACTAGAATTTCAAATGAACAAAAAATAACTTTTAATGTTAAGTATATCCCATGAAATTTATGGGACATGTTTATACTAAAAAATTACTCATTGTTCATCTGAAATTCTGATGTGATTGAGAATCCTGCATTGTTTTGGCAATTAGAAAACTGTAAAACTGTAAAACCAATGCATATGGATTAGAACAAATATAAACTTCTAATGTAAAGAAACGTAAAGTTACCTTAAGAGATCAGAATGGGTTCTTTAGCAAGAGTTGGTTACAACTGAAGTTTGTAAAAAAAAGGTATATTTACAAAAACACTTCTCACCTCTTGTAAGGTATGTTAAGAACACGCCAATCAGAAAGGGGGTTAGGGCCGGGTGTGATGTCTCACGCCTATAATCCCAGTGCTTTGAAAGGCCAAGGTTGGAGGATCACTTGAGCCCGGAAGTATGAGAGCAGCCTGGGCAACATAATGAGACCCCATCTCTACAAAAAAATAAAAACTATCTGGGTGTGGTCGGCTGCGTCTGTAGTCCCAGCTACTCAGGAGGCTAAAGGAGGAGGATTGCTCAAGTCTGGGAGTTTGAGGCTACAATAAGCTATGATCACGCCGCTGCACTTGAGCCTGGGTGACAGAACAAGACTCTATCTCAAAAAAAAAAAAAAAAAAAAAGTGAGGAGATCGATCAATAATAGAAAATGAAAGGTCAAAGAGAAAAACTTTGGGCCAGGTGTGGTTGTTCATGCCTATAATCCCAGCACTTTGGGAAGTTGAGTGGGTGGATCACTTGAAGTCAGAAGTTCGAAACCAGCCTGGCCAACATGGCGAACGAAACCCCATCACTACCAAAAACACAAAAATTAGCTGGGTGTGGTGGTGCATGCCTGTAATCCCAGCTACTCGGGAGGCTGAGGCACGAGAAATTGCTTGAACCCAGGGGGCAGAGGTTGCAGAGAGCTGAGATCGTACCACTGCACTCCAGCCAGAGCAAGGCTCTGTCTCAAAAAAAAAAAAAAAAAAAGAGACAAACTTTGGTCATTTTCCTCAACGCCATCTGGAAGCACCAACTTCCAGGCTGAGATGGCTCAGATCTTATTGTGGAGATGCACTTGCCAAGTGTCTTAGTCAGCTTGGGCTGCTGTCACAGACTACCATAGGCTGGGCGGATTACACAACAAGCATTTATCACTCACAGCAGAGGCTAGGAAGTCCAAAGTCAAGTGCCAGCATGGTTGGGTTCTG